AACGTTTTCTCCACTGGCGTCCAGTCACGGAGGCTTCAGCTGTTCACCACTGATGCATGCGAACGACAGCAAGGCGTGGATAGCCTCAGTGGAATAGCGAATCGCTCGGCTGAGAGGGTTACTTCTGAGAAGTGAACAGATCGTCGTCCGTGGAAACCATCCATGGCGTAGCAAACAGCTATAGCGATGGCATTTACTGTAGGCGCAGTTTGCACATACGCGGATTCTTAAAAGCAATAGATGCTCATTGAACAGAATGAACATGCCGGAAACCGTCATTTTCAAAGTAAAAGGCACGGGAAGCTCCTTCACAGTCGCACCGTTTATTGGATATCGTTCTCACGGCCATTTAGTCACTCCTTGCGTCTGAATGTGTTGCAGTCATTTGGTATCGGCGTTGTCCAAATGAGGGGGGGGGGGGGGGCGGGAAGGGGAGGGTGGAATGAGCTGTGTTATGTCCAAGTAACATCAGGGTGCTCTACTCCAAATCTTTGTGACACATGGCAGTCTAAAGTCACTCAGCTGACGCACTGCAGCTCCCTCTACCTGCTAGCGGACTTCCTGCCGAATACGCACGCGCGTCTTGGGGTGAGCGTGACAAAGCTGTTTTTGTACATCGTCGAGAACTATAGAGATCGGTGTAAATGAGTGTTTAAGGGCTTACAGCGTAACTAGACAAATCCGATAGTCATACGAGGTGGTGGAAAAGTATACGTGTTGTGTATGCTGCAAATCATTTGACATCTGTTAGTCAAGGATTTCGGGGTAGAGCAATCTGTCTTCCAAGACACCGAGCGATACAAGCTGCATCAGCTGTGCATGCATTTTATCGTTGATGTAGTGCACCAACAATATGCCATTGGCTGGCCTCCTGACAATCATTGAATGATATGATTGCCATGATGATGAGTGTAGTTTCCTAATCAGTTGGCCATGAATTGCCAGAACAGCCTGCCACATCCAGCTAGCAGTTGTAGATTATGTTCATATTATATATCTTATTCGGATTAAAATCTTGAGGACAGATTGCGTGTTGCCCATTTGACATTTTTGCGGAACTTGCTCATTGTTGCCTTCCTCTCTGTTTCAAATGTTAATTTAAAATTGCGACTCAAATTTTAATGTTCTTTATTTCTGTTTCTGTTAAGTTCAGTCCAGCGGGAGTACAATTTTAGTATTTTGCCCTGCTATCAGCCACAAACATTGATATGAACAACATATAGTGACAAAACTATGTTACGTTGAGTCACAAGCCTCATCTTGCTGGCGCGTAACCACTTAAGGTGGCGATCCATGACCACTCAACTTACGCATGTAGTCATGAGCTTCATTTTTCGATTGTTTACTACCAACAATGGTCTTGACGAGCTACCGACCATAAGACCATTGACTGGAGAGAAAGTAGGCTGCACTCCTTATTTTTCAGGGTGTTTTCACTAGTTTGAGAACATGACATGAATACCATCCATTCCGACCTTTTGAAAACAAGAACCCCAGTGCCTTACAGCCCAGAATTTCTCAGGCGGATGAAACGACAACAGAGGGCCAGCCAATTCGTCGCTACGTTCCGGCGCGTACGCGGGATGCAGCGGGAACATCCGTGGATGGATCCCACGTTCATCCTGGCTGTGAATCACAGTCCCAGTCAGCGAGGTGCCGATGACGCATGCGACACGGACAACACCGATATGCTCGATATACTGGACGATTATGCCTACCGGCCGGGACTGTCCTTCGTGGTCGCCAGTGCCGTTTGCTTCATCGCCATGTTCGTCGCCTGACTAACGCTGGACAGAGAAGGCTGCGCTACCTGCCGAGAAGCACTGGTGAGCCGTCAGGAGTTCAACGACGTCACGTCCTGATGTCAAATCTGTGGCCGAAGCGCCGCGGTTGGCTGACGAATCACTTCGGTACCGACAAATGGTGTGCGTCGTTGTGTCCCGTATCGGTACCACTAAAGTTTGAGTCCCGGGCCATTGCCCCCTGGCAGCCCAGCACGGTTTGGAAAACCACCACACTCAGTGCATCAGGATGCTGATGGTAGCTACCAACGGGTGTGTTTTCACCATCAGTCGGTTTTCATCATCAGTCGAGGGTGCACAACGCAAGCCTGCAGAGGAGCAGGATCCGGAAAAATGAACTGTAGTCATGCTGTTCATAAGACATAAGCCAGCTGTAGGTGCGCATATTCTGTGTTCATTTTTTTGGCGGCGTATCCAGCAGATACTCTTTTCTTCAATTGTCACACCCCGCCGATCGTCCGCTTCGTCCGGCCTATTCTCTGCTGTACTTAGGCTTCTTGTTGCACGTGATCTGGGATGTTAAATTCGCTGCAGCTACGTTATCGCGGACGATTCATGAATATGTTCAGTCAAGGAGTGTTACGGCATTATGAAAGCGCTAAAACACGGATCTCATTGCATTGTCAGACGATTAAGATGTACGTTAAACTACAAGTCATCATAATATTGTAAGAAGGTTGAAGTGTTTGCGTTTTTGATGTATTAGTCCTGTTATTGCATGGTAAAAATTGTTGTATACGTAAATAACTGGTTTTGAATGTTCGCAAGTATTTATCCCGTTTATTAGAACCTCACCAACCGGGACACTGATCTGGCCGGGGGCCTGCTTGTGCGCCGAATATATCTGAGCGTGGCAAGTACTTGTGCTCATCACCTCTCTGTGAGGGCCGTGGAACTGGCGAAGGCAGCGGCGGGCGACATACCACGCCCCGCACGATGTAGATTCGGCAGTGACTCGTACGTCGGCACCAAATACGCGGCCGCTGATCCGCGGGCACCGGCAGCGTCACCGCGGCACCAGGTGTGCTGACATCCTCCACACGGCAGTATCAGACATGGCGTCCCCGCCCGCCGCGGGATCCGGCACGACGTTGGGCAAGCCTTACGCCACTTGTCCGACGAACGCCAGGTAAGACGGCAATCCTGTCGGTGCTTGGCGTGAGCGCAGCTGAATCATCCACGCCAGCGGTGGCACCGCCATGGTCGACACCAGTGTTGAGCCCACGCTCCCAGACTTCTCGAATGGGTGTCACTAGTACCACATCGGATACGGCTGCAGTCGACCCTCGCGAGGTTCTAGAACATCGGTAGACGGGAAGGCAGCGGCCCCACCATCACTCGGTGTGAGCACGGCGGCCCGTCCCCGCAGACAGCGGTCGTGGAGTTCGGCGGCGGGAATTTCTCCATGCGGGTAAATAATTGGATACTGAAACATCAGGAACCGAAGTTTCATGATCGTCGACATAGAGCCTTATCTAGTAAAGCCCCCTAACTTTAGCGGCTCCAATCGGTTTAATTTTATTGCTTAACGTTTGGTTTAAGTCGGTTCCAACTTTAATTTTTATTTCCGCGATCTTACAAAGAAACCTCGTCCCAAGCGTTACAATGGCTTTGCCAGAGCGAGTCTGTGTTCCTTGACTGCTTCAATATGGCGGCCCGCTTTACGTACCAGCAATCGGACCGCTCCATTCAGCTGTCCTATCTAGTCCTGCATATATATATATATATATATATATATATATATATATATATATATATATATATATATATGCTCTACAGTGGAGAATCCAGGATTTCGTCAAGGGGAGGGAACGCAACCTTGTGCGCCCACTACAGTTCGGGACGCCCTCCAAAAGGAAACCCTCGTTTTCCGGTCATAATATTTGGAGATTTGTACATATATATAAATATATATATATATATATATATATATATATATATATATATACATTGGAGATGTATATGGAGAATGAACATCGGTATGATCTGATCTGCTGGTATGATATCATCGGTATGATATGGTCTGATCTGCTCATGATCTGGAGAAAATGAGCGAGCTCTATGTAAGCGTGTACGTGGCACGCCTAGTATATGTGTGTGCATGTTTGGGTGTATGACATTTTACATCATATATGCCATTTTTATACGGGAACTCATTTTACTCTGCGCCATCCTAGAAACTAGGCGTGCCACGTACACACATAGAACCCGCTCATTTTCTCCAGAGCATGACCCTGTCATTTTGAGGCTAAGCATTTTGAAAAAAAACATGGCAAATGAACTCAAGTTGGCTACGAAATACAATCAAAATCAAGGACAAACTTGATGCTCAATTTATTTCCGGCCAGCCGGCTAATAGATGTGACCAGAACGTGGCTAATGACTAATGCAAAGTTTTTGCTTTGACTTTAAAAGGGGAGTCTGAAATATCCTGGCGTTAAAAATGAATTAAGCACGTGATGCACAAATGAAATCAGTGCAGATAATTCAATAACCAACGGAAGTGAAATACAGGACGTCGGGAGCGCGTAAAATTATGTTCGACAATTGCGGATAAAAATTCGTCGGCGCATATCCAGCTGCTGCTCTGAGGCAAAGGCGCCAATGGAAATCTTGTGACTGTTCTTGGTCGCTTGAAGCCTCAAACACATCCAGTTTTGTTCGGTTTCGTGCTAAACAACAGTATCTGTTCGCCGTCTATAAGCCCCTTCGTAGCCTATTTATCCCTTCGAGGTCCAAGGGGTGAGGGGAGGGGGGGGTATGACACCGTGCCCCCTCTGGGTTCGCCACTGATGTTCTAGATAGCCATTGCGCATCAATATCGCCACACGTCATTACAGGGCATGGTTGCAAGCAGCCCTATATTCCTCATCTTGTGAGGACAATAACATCGCACCTGTATAGTTGTTCAAGTTTTGGTTGTTACGGGACATGGACAAAGTAGTGGATTTTTACATGCCAAACATTATGAGAAGTCTATGCCAAAGTATTGACAAGCTAGGCACAGTGCTGAGCCCAATAAAGCCAACCAGGCTTTTCAACAAATTACAACCAATGCTCATCGACATAGTCACTCATCACGATGAAGCAATCTGCACGCACGTCGTAAAATATCCCGATTGTACTACTTTTGTAAAGTAGTTTGGCTACCAATTTTCTTTCAGAACATCTGCGTCATATATGTCTAAACCCATTACCTCGTACTCTGCCCGCATCCGCTCGAGCGTTATTACGGTTCTGAGACGCAAAGGTCTGCGGATAGAGGTCCAATATTCGATTGAACAAAACCGTTTTGTACAGGTAATGGACATTTCTCTTCCCAGGAACATCAAAAAACATACGTTTAGGGACAGAGGGTGTAGTTCGGGCGGCATGTTGCGCTTTCAGCCTGCATGTCATGTCAATAATGACATGTAGGGTGTTTGCAAGGTTACTGCCAACCGTCTTACGGTGCTCATTTTTTAATTCACAAACTAAAGGTACACATTTTTTTGAGCTACCTTCCTGTCACAACATAACCAAGCAATTATTTGGTGAATCAATCCAGAATGGCCTAGTCAAGTACCACTTATCATAGTGCAAACTGTGTACCAGACTGCAAAGGGTTCATGCTACTTGGAAGATATTTGGCATAGCAGTGACATCCCACCACTACTTTAAGTGCATGCACAGCATAAATCCAGGGACCATAAGTTTTGAGCAAAGTCACAACTCACAACCAATCTTACTATCAATCCAGTGAGCCAATGTTCAAGGGATTATGATGTTTGCAAGATAATGCCATCAGAAAGCAACCCTTGAAGGTTTTCAAGCCTAAAAAATTAATTATTCAGCCCAGTTTGTACCTGCCTGAGTTTGATTTATGGATGCTTCAGGTTCAGTGCACAAATGCCACTAAGCATTGAGCCCAAGGAATGTAGTTTTGAAACCTTGTTGTGCTGAGTTATCAATCTTCAGTATACTAGGTCAGGCACTGGTTAAAGGATGCCATTGAGAAAAAAAATTCAATTTTGATAACACTTAATGCTTTAAACTTGGCTTATGATCAAAAGTTCATCAGTACCATGACATACAGCAAGTGCTGTGATGTTTAGTTACTCTGAAGGAGGTGGGGTGTATTCAAACAAATGCAAACTTTGGGCTTAAAAGCAGGTGACCACAATTGTTAATATCTATGCATGTTTTATGTCTGGATCTTTAACATGCATATTTCTAACAACCTCCTGTTTGACTCACCTTGGTTCAACCACTGTGAGACCAATGCAGGTAGCTTCAACATGCTGTTTTCTCATGCTATGCTCTGTTACTGTTTGGTGGAAATCATTATGCTCCTCCATGATTTTATACATTCTTGGTTGTTCTGCTGGAATTTGTTAATAAATTTGGTGTCAAATGTCTGGAGGACAGAGGAGTCCACAAGTTGGAGGCCAGATGTCAAGCCAACCAAGTGAGATATGATACCCCCCAACATGTCACAGTGGCTTAATGTAAGCCAAAATAATCCTCAACATGTAACATTGGCATAATGTAAGTCTAAATATACTTATTGGTCCTTGATATTCTGGAGAAAACGACTGTGTAAGCTTGAATTGACATGCATGGCTTTGTCCCTCCTACTCTCAGGATTGTGCACTGCTGGGACCCAGGCTTCTGCCATTAATAATAGCATAGTTATAGTGATGTGTGATGCAAAGCAGTATAGCTGAAAATCGATTTGGACTCACCTCCTTCTTCTCATTTTTGCACTTGCTGGCTGGTGCATCTGCATTCTGGTGGCTTGTGCACCTATTTGATCATAATATTAGGAATGTAGGAAGTGGGATTATGTGCTAGGGAATGATTGTATGGTAACATACCAGGGATCAAAAGCTTTATGGGACATATGCTAGGCAGGGCTAAATGAATCTGATCTAGATGGGGCTAAAGCAACATAACTTTGTATCAGAAGCTTGTCAGCCAGCAAACACCAAACACAGCTGGCTGCTAAGATAAGATGATGAAGGTTGCACTCTTGTGAGTTTGCATATATTTTAATGTCTGTTTTTGTCTGTTGGTATAGCACACACATGTGTACTGCAAGTCACATCTTACACCTTATATCATGGTTATAATTCTTATTGTGTTGTTTGTGCATTTTAAGGTACATTCCTCAGAGTTAACAGTTGTCCAACCCTGCAGGATGTGTAACCAGTATGTCAACTGTAAATTAAAGATCACAATCATAACTAACCTTGGATTTTAAAAAAAATATCTTGCATTTAGCTGAAACTGTATAATTGAATGACCATCCAGAACCAATAAATCTCAGCCAACTGCACTCTGTGGCATGGAAATTTCCCAAGGTAGACAGCACTTTGGGAATGTTACCTGCTCTTTCTTCTTCTTTGCAAATCAGGATTTAGGGGGATCAGGGTAGCCTTTATTTGATTTCAACTTATTGAAAAGGAACTGAATTAACAGCTCTCACTACACACCCAAGGGCAAAACCATTTCCAAGTCCCCATCTTCCACCACACACCAAAGAGTAAAACAGATTCTGGGACCCAGCATTATTCATTAGTTGCAAAGTCTAATTTCTTGACATCACAATGCACACCTTATCACTTCCTTAATCTACCATATAGACATACGAGTTTGGGCGGCCGATTTGACTTCATGTTTTGATCCTACAGCAGTGATGCATAGAACAAGTCAGTGACACTATGTTATTGCTATCCTTGGGTTGATGTATCACACACTATGTTATTGTTATCTTTGGGTGGATGCATCATATATCAAAGTGCGCGGGTTCGTCTTTTCGCTCTATGAAACCAGGCCTTATTAGCCGGTTTTTAGCCGGTAGCCGCCGCTACCGGGCCGGCTAGCCGTGACGCGAACATCGGTAGGCCACAACTAACATTGGGTTGAGGATACAGGCCAGGAGCAAGAAGACAACACATAGGACACATGTGAATGATAGCATGGTGATGCTCTTCATTTTATGGCGCTCATTGCCGAACATACACTTGCACGGTTTGCCTTAGTTGTGTGGAGACCTCCAGGTGTCCTTAGATTTACATGTTAGCCCAGGTGCGGCGGGACCTCTCCTTTATATCACACCCATTGAATATCCACGCTGCTTTTCGTTTTGACGTTTTGAACCAATCCAAGCACCTGCTATGCCATACATAGACCAACAAGTATGGCCAACCATGTCCCACAATGCCATTAGGACGCTTACATTGGGGCATTGACTTTACATCGTGCGGCATAATCGTTCCTTTTTGTCGAGTCCGAGGTGCATTCACACAAATCACAGCCCATCGGAGAGCTGGTTTATTGCGTTCTCGAAGCAAAAGAAGGCTTTGTCAAAAGACGCATTGAAGGATGCGCAAATGACGGGGAAAAGACGAGCTAGCTCGTCCAGATGCCTCCAGTTTTGGGTCCATGCAGTGATGTGCTACAAGGCAACCGAGTGAAAATAAGATAACGCAGCATGTACGGCTTTTTCTAAGTGTAGGTATTAAAACACAAGTGAGGCATTTCGTGGAAAACGCAAGCACGCTTCTTCCTTGTCCCCATAAATGCCTTGTGGAAGGGCAATTCAGCCTGTTCCGTGGTAGTGCTAATAACTAATAACTAATTGTGACATCTGGCCATACGCCACTTAACGCCTGGCCGCACGCCACCTGACGTCTGGCCGCACGCCACCTGACGTCTGGCCGCACGCCACCTGGCGTCTGGCTGCACGCCACCTGACGTCTGGCCGCACGCCACCTGGCGTCTGGCTGCACGCTTCCTGACGTCTTGCTGCACGCCACTTGACCTCTGGCCGCCGCCACCTCCACAGCAGCAGGCCCCCCGCCGGCCGCCGCCATGACGAGCAACCTGCCGGCCTCGGCGACCGGCGGCGTGCAGCCAATGTCCATCGAGGGCCGCTGCAAGAACGTGCGCGAGCGGCTCATCAAGATGTCGGCCGAGGACCGAAAGTGGCGCGCCCAGTGGCTGCGCGACCAGCATCTGGGGCCCATGGAGCCAAGGTACGTACGCTGGGCCGACACAGCTGGCCGACTGGCGCGTGCTCACGCAGCTGATGTGCGGGGAGACGGGAGGCGCGTGTTCTTTCCGTGTGTAGACTTTTGTGCGGGTGATATAAAGAATGTTTCGATGCTGTTTGGACATCACCCGAATCAGTGGACTATGTATCTTCCTCAGGTACATCCCAGAGTACTTCAATGAGATTACGAATCCCATTCGGCGTCTCTACAAGTGGCCTCTGAACACCCTGTTTGAGAAACTTCAGCCTGCGATGGTAGGTGGAGCATGAAGTTTCTTGTTCAGTTTGCATACGTAGAGTCTAGAAATGTTACCACAACAATGATAAGTTATTTTGACAAATTTCGACCGTGTATCTGCAGGGCGGCGATAACACACGCCACGTACAAGAACATGATCGTGCACCGTCGCCGGACCGTGCCATTTTACTAACACGAAGGTGATGCTGGCTAACCGGACGTGGTGTGTGTGTGACAGGGGGTCAGGGGCGCCTTCATGGCCCGATGGTACACGGGCAAGATGCTCATGTTCGTCGGAGCCATCTACATCGGCCACTACTATTTCAAATACAACAGAAACGTGAGTCATCCGTTGTGCTTGGGGCCCGTTCCGAAGCGTAAGTCGCACTCCAGACGCCAGATGGTTGGCCGAGAGAGGCTCGTGGCAAGGCAGATTTCAGCTGGATCGTGTACGGGTCGTAGAACCTTAACTGTAACTGAACACCGGCCAGCGACAGACGACTTGAAAGGTGTGCCCATTTGTGTTTTGTGTTCTGTCCCTCCCTGTGTCCGAATAGTTGTTGTTCCCCTGTAGTTTCCAGACGAACATTGCTATCGAAAGGCGCAGCTGCCGAATATCTCATCCGGGTCATCGCCTCCTCTCCATGCAGCCTTCACTGCCCTGGGTGTGCTGAAGTGCACGTCATTCGATCCAAATCCTATTGACTACGATGGGCCCTGGCGACCTGAAACATGCCGTGCCGTCTGGCGAAACGCCTTTCACACTTGCTGGCCAACGGCGCCGCCGTGTTGACCTCTGTCGACGTGTGACGTCGCCCGGTGATGCACTGGGCGAGCGCCAGGCGCCAGCGGTGCCGCCTGGCGGCGGGGCACGTGCTCGGTGCTTCGGTCGCTCTGACGGACGTGGGCGTCGGCCGACCGGCAGGACTGGACGCGCCGTGGTGGCTGGGGGGTGAATGTATCGAGGCAGTCCGTGCTGCCCGGCGAGGAGGACTACCCCAACACAGGCGACCGGCACCACCACTGGGACTACTACGACCGCGGCTTCAAGGACCGCACCGTTTACAAGGGCGGACTGTACTGAACCAGACGCCGGTGTAGCGCGTTCTCATGTGCCGGTACGTGCAGTGTGCGTGTAAATATAGTCGGTGTGGACGGGTACGGGTATTTTTGCTCAGCTCTTGGACTGATCTGAACGGTGGAGAAATTGTGACAGCCCTTCTGAATGAACATCCTGTTTCGCCAACCGATACCTGCTATCCACGAAGGTATATTTTTTACATTTACCATACACTTCCCGCAACGCCTTATCCAGACAAGCACAGGACGTATCTCTTTATTTTGCATTCTCTTGGGTACCCCCCATGCGAAAGCACTAGTAAAAAACGCGGCAGAGGCATGACTGCATGCAAAAGTTGCAAAACAAGCATGCCTTTCGGCAACAATTCACCCAGACGGCTGGACCCTGCCCGGCACGGCCGACGGAGCGTTTGCCGGGGCTCCGCCGCCGGCCACCGGGCGGCGCCGCGTCGCTCGGCAGACCCCAGCTCAGCAGGCGGCCGGGCCGCGGCCCCGGCCCGGGCCGCGCGCCACCTTGCGGCGCTGGTTCGGCTGGCCGAGCGGGCCCTGGTTGCCGGTGAGCGCCGGCGTCCAGGCGCGCAGACCGCTCTCGGTCGGGAACACGTCGAGCAGGTGATGCGGGCCCCGCACCAGCGTGTTGACGCCGGCCAGCGCAGCGGCCGCCGCGCCCGTCAGCAGGTACAGCTCCCGACGCTCCGGGTCGAAGCCGCGCACCAGGCCTGCCGCGTCAGGCGCGTGACTTCACTACCAGCATGCTGCACGAGTTGAGGCGCGGGGCGGGGCAGAGGTCATGGCCCTTGCGTCCGAGGGGTGAATCCAAATTGGTTTGGGCAAGGGGTAACTTACTGACAAATGCATTTGGAATGGACTCCCAACACCGCAGGCCATCTACGCCCGAATCAGATGTGACATATGCATGCGGTCTAAATATGAGACGCCGATTTGAGGGACGAAGGTGGTCTTTTCGACACACAAACATACCATTTCACGCAGAGGTTGGAGGGGGTCAGCCCAGGTAAGACAGCCAGGTCGAAGGCAGGCTACATCAAAAGACAAGAACAATACAGACGACACGGCTGGTGTTTTAGTACTTGATTGACATGTTGGTGACGAGCTTACACGGCGTTCGTCATGCGACAGCGTGGCTAGTATAGTTGGGGGCTTCCTATTTTCGCAGCAAGTCACGGCACACAGTTATTGCAGAGGCCAGCGCACAACAGCACACGGCCCGCTCCCGAGGCACTGCACTGCCCGGCTCGGACCTGGGCACACAGCAGTCCTAACGGCGGCGTCGGCGGTCAGCCGGGCCCGGGCGCGGTAGCCAGCCGGGCCCGGGCCGCAGCCGGGCCCCGGCCGTCGCCAGCGTCGCACACGCACCGAACCCGAGACAGTCGGGCCGCCGGTGGCCGGGCGGCAGCAGGCAGAAGAGGGAGCCGTCGTCAGGCCGCCGCCACGTGTCAGGCTCGGTCCGGCACAGCGCCACCACCGTACCGTTGATGGCGTGCATCACGTGCTGCGGCAGCAGCCGCTCCGTGGCCACGTGCACGGCCAGCGAGGACCACGACACACTGTCGGGGTACGGTACTGGTGACGACCACGACATGCTGTCGAGGTAAGGTACCACTGACGACCATGGCACACTGTCGGCGTAAGGCGCACGTGACAACCCTAACACGTTGCTGGGGCAAGGTGCCGTTGACGACCATGACACGCCGTCGGGGGAAGGTACCATTAACGACCATGACACAATGTCGGGGCAAGGTACCAGTGACGACCATGACACACTGTCGGGGTGAGGCACACGTGACGACCATGACACACTGTAGGGGTAAGGTACCAGTGGCGATCATGACACAATGTCGGAGCAAGGTACCAGTGACGAACATGACACACTGTCGGGGTGAGGTACCAGTGACGACCATGACACACTGTAGGGGTAAGGTACCAGTGACGACCATTACACACTGTAGGGGTAAGGTACCAGTGACGACCATGACACACTGTAGGGGTAAGGTACCAGTGACGACCATGACACACTGTCGGGGCAAGGTACCGGTACCGACCATGACACACTGTCGGGGCAAGGTACCGGTAACGACCATGTTACACTGTCGGGGTGAGGTACCAGTGACGACCATGATACGCTGTCGGGGCAAGGTGCCAGTGACGACCATGACACACTGTAGGGGTAAGGTACCAGTGACGACCATGACACACTGTTGGGGCAAGGTACCAGTGACGACCATGACACACTGTAGGGGTAAGGTACCAGTGACGACCATGACACACTGTCGGGGCAAGGTACCGGTACCGACCATGACACACTGTCGGGGCAAGGTACCGGTAACGACCATGTTACACTGTCGGGGTGAGGTACCAGTGACGACCATGATACGCTGTCGGGGCAAGGTGCCAGTGACGACCATGACACACTGTAGGGGTAAGGTACCAGTGACGACCATGACACACTGTTGGGGCAAGGTACCAGTGACGACCATGACACACTGTCGGGGTAAGACATGTGTACACTTGATGACAAGTACGCGTTGTCTGGAAGGTGTTGATGCGTCCTGGGTCACGCGTGTCGAACGGTCACAAGGTGAGCGTGGGTGTGGGAAAAAATAACAAACATGACCAACAGAAGCAATCCACGTGCTAATGCAAACATAACTCAATAAGCGATATCCAGCCGTCTGCGGCGATGGCAGGGAAGATTAAACGCATGTGTTATCCAACGCGCGGTTACGTGAGACCGTAGGCTGCGGGCGAACGTCATCTACAGGGACGGAAACGAACCGTTAGTGCGTCAGAATAGCGCAGCACGATACCTCGGGAGATGGTTACGGCGAAGAAAGTCGTACGCATATTCAGTGAAGATATATCAACTGCTACGTAGACTGGCTACTCTGCGCACTGCCGCAGCTAAATAAGCCATCCTGTTCGGCGCTTGCCAATGTTGGCACATTCCTTGTAGCTTCGATAGCATTCATTGCGATCGATGACATTTTGGAATTGGGAGCATTATCTAACGACGGAAAAATATATAAACTCTGACGTGAACATTATATCATATTATGTGCGCAAGACGTATAACCAGACAAAATAGCGGTAAAACAGCATGAGTATCAGGAATCACCAGGGCATTACATAGGAAAGAAAGCGAAGGTGTGGGTAGGTGGTATGCGATATGGTGGTAGGTGGTATGCGATAATGGAACGAAATGTGGGTAGGTGGTATGCTGTAGACGCCAGCCATGCATATAACGCACGGCGATTCCAACTACATGTCACTCCCAGTGTGTGTGACAAACGGAGCCCACACAACAGGACATACAAGGAATACAATAGGTGCTAGTGACGACCCGCGGTTAGGCTCAAGGCAGCATTGATGGCGACTAAGGCACGTTGCATGGGGAGCAGCGGTGTGCGATACCACAAAACTACAACGCTATGTCTGAGTGACTAAAACGGCTCACGTTGTTTCAGCCTACTTCAGGGAGACCGTTAAGAGCAACTGCCACGAAAGGCAAAGGAATGCTCTAAACCGTCAAAAAGGCCCGGATGCCGTTACTGCCGCCCACAGACACACACCAGGTAGGCGCTCGGAGCGATGAGTCAGCGCGGGTCCGTACCACATGGGGATGAGCTGGCACAGTTTCCTGTCGGGCTGCTCCAGCGCAGCCACGAAGGCGGTTGTGTTCAGCTGCCGGTACATCCAGGGCGCCAGCCTGCCGGACAGCGTCACAGGCAGCCCATTGTCACCTCAGCGCACCGAGTGGCGGCGCGCCGATAAAACAGGCTTACATGATTCTTGTTGTATACACTGACATATACTGTCGATATACATCATAACATACATACATTGTTCCTGACGACTGAGCGGCCATGCTCGGACGAACGCATGGCGAATAAATGACAACATTGGGAAGTGCGCGCCCGCAGGCGTTGGACTTACCGGGCCAGGGGCTGTCAGCGGGCGCACCCCTAGAGAGCCCCATTCTTGATTAGACATTGCGCCGATAAGTATGTGAACGAGAAGAGGGCCATGCCATGACCAACCTCCCTCAAAACTTTGCTCTACTGGCGTTACCCAGGGTGCAGCGGAGGAGTTAGAGGAGTTCGTGCAGTCACCCGCGGAGGTGGAGCTGGGAACACGGCGGCCACGATGGCGATGTGACTGGCCTTCTCACCCAGTCCATGGACCTTACCCTAGTCCCTCGGCCTCGCTTCACCGCCCACACGCACAAACACAGCGCAACTTCACCTCCCACACGCCGGACCGCCGGCTCTCGGATGATGACGGTTTGGGCTGAAGGGCGCACCGACTAGAACAGCAGCCTTAAAGCACAGCAGTTCTAGAGCCTTGTAAAACTGGTCCAGCGATTTCATCCGGCTACCATCGGGGGCAATCCCCAGTTGCCTATCACTGGGGCTATTATCGGACGCAATCTCCAGTCGCATCCGATGATGAGGTATACCGATGTTACTGCTGATAACCGCGAACTCGCGGCATTCTGCATAGTAACACTTAACTTGTAGGCGGGCTGTATGGTGCGGCTGTGTGGGCATGCATGTACAACGGTAAAAAACGCACGACAACACAAAGAAGAGGCAAACCACCACGGTGGCGGCCGCTCATACGTCCTGATCTGCACACGACCGCACCCGCATGCGCCTCCCAGTGAGCAAGAGCACAGCGCCAGGACATTCCGTGTGCCGCCTCACCCGTCCCAACCTCCCTCTCACCGTCCATGTCTGCTTCCTGACCCGCCTGATCCTCCCTCTCACCGTCCATGTCTGCACTCTCACCCGCCTGAACATCTCCTCAGGCCTGTCTGCCTCCCCACCCGCCTCACCTCCCTCTCATCACGTCTGTCTGCCCCCCTACCGGCCACCCCCCTACTCTCACCGTGCCTGTCTGCCTTCTCACCTGCCTTCCCTCCCTCTCACCGTGCCTGTCTGCCTCCTCGCCCACCTCACCTCCCTCTCATCATGCCTGTCTGCCCCCCTACCGGCCACCCCCTACTCTCACCGTGCCTGTCTGCCTTCTCACCTGCCTTCCCTCCCTCTCACCGTGCTTGTCTGCCTCCTCGCCCGTCTCCCCTCCCCCTCAATCTCACTGTTTACGCTCTCACCCGCCGTCTGTGCCGTGCTGTCGGCCGGCGCCGGCCGTCGGGCAGAGTGAGGTGAGCCGCCGGTGCCAGTGGCTGACGGCCGGCCGGGCCGGCCAGCCAGCCGTGTAGCGCGACAGCAGCCAGCTGCGGCCGGCGGCGTTCACACGCGCCGCCGTCAGCGGCTGGCTGAAGTTGACGTGTTCCTGGCGCGGGTGCACGATCTCCAGCACGTCCGTCGGCTGCACCTGGCCGAATATCTCGAACAACAGGTCCTCCCCGAGGCCTACAGGCACAGGCGGCTTGTCGTCAAGGCTCAGCGCCCGGGGCGCTGAGGCGGACACGGACGTGCGTCGGAGCCCGGTACCGGGCGCTGAGGAGAACACGGACGTGCGTCAGACTCGGCGCTTGGGACGCTGAGGCGGACACGGACGTGGGTCAGAGTTCGACACCCGGGGCGCTGAGGAGGACACGGACGTAAGTCAGGGCTCGGCGCCCGGGGCGGCGAGGCGGACATGGACGTGAGTCAGGGCTCGACACCCGGGGCGCTGAGGAAGACATGGACGTGCGTCAGACTCGGCGTTTGGGGCGCTGAGGCGGACATGGGCGTGGGTCAGGGCTCGACACCCGGGATGCTGAGGACACAGACGTAGGTCAGGCTGGGCGCTCGGGACACTGAGGACACGGACGTGGGTCAAAGTGGAGCGGCGCCGTGTCGCCTGACTATAGGTCGCTTAAGCGTGAGTGTGGATGCGCATTCGACTGCTGCAGCGACCGCCAGATCGCAGGGATAACGCGGCTGGATTTGAACTGACAGCTGCTGCTTCACCCATGATATTTAACCAGCGGCAATTAAACACTTTCCCGCATTGTCTCCCTGCCGTTTTGTAACCCCGCCTCAACTGCAACATACTTCAAGGCCATTGAATCAGCCGTCCTTCAAAGATAAAATGCGGAATAAGCGCGAAGGAAAGTAGACACAAATCTTGCAGTGCGCAGTTATCACATGCTTCTTTTGGGAGCGCTGAAGAAAAACTATCAGGGTTGCGTTCCATACCGCGCGCTATTATCTATCACATAAGCTAATGAGCAAGAACGAAGGCTTGTCTGAATTCATCTGTGTGAAGTAGCACACTAAGATAATCATAATTCGAATCCACATTTAGCGCCTGGAATACACCGTTCTTCAACACCTTATGGTGTTGCATATTATAGAAGCAAGTGAGAATTCCGCAAGACGTGATCTCGCCGGAACACCTCAGTATTACGCCTTACGTATTATCTTAGCGATAAAAGGACAACATCGCTTTGGCTCATTGAGGCCAAGGGAACAAAAGCTTTCCATAAACATTTTACCCACGATTGAAAAATGCAAGCCATTGAATAACATGATGGCTAGTGGAAATCACGCCACGTGGCAAAAATATGAAAACCCCTGACGTGGTGTGACGGGAGATTTGTCGTAACTGGTGGAAATCACGCCACGTGGCCAAAACATGTGAACCTCTGACATGATGTGACGGGAGATTTGTCATAACTGGTGGAAATCACGCCACGTGGCCAAAATATGTGAACCTCTGACATGATGTGACGGGAAATTTGTCATAACTGGTGGAATTTAGGCCACGTGGCCAAAATATGTGAACCTCTGACGTGATGTGACAGGAGATTTGCCGTAACTGGTGGAAATCGCGCCGCGCGACCAAAATATGAGAACCTATGGAGCGCTGCAACAGGAGATTTGTCGTGTCTTCCAACCAAAACAAAACTTTCGGCAAGCAGTAGTGAGATCATACACCACTGATACAAGCGAATCAGTGCCGTTTTCACCAGCCGCACCGGCGGCAGCCATAATTTGCCGGCCGTTGATCGCGCGAGGTGCGGACGACAGACCACTTCACCTGTGGCCACTAACAATCGCCGGCGGCCACCACAGTTGTGCTGCGGACATCGATTTTCCGGCGGGGGCGGCGGCGCCGGCGCAGCCTGCTATAAAGTCGGCCGGCGGCGGCGGTGTCAACCCCAGTAGTGATCGCGTCGCCGCCGCCTATCTTTCACCATGCCCTGCGACAAGTGCTGCGACGGTGAGTGGCCCGCTTCCCCTCCCCCCCCCCCCACGGACCCCAGTGACAAGCCGGTCACTGGGTCCCGGCGACACCACGCCGTCAGTGATGGCGTGCGTCGGGAGGCTGGGCTGTTTGAGCGTGGCCCGCAAGATCACAAGTGTTTGTTTCGTCCACTTCTTTTAAAAGGTGCTGTGTAATCAGATGTGTTCGGATATACGCACGTCCATGTCTCGGGATAATGTGTCAGCCCAAGTATCTCTATTATTTTCGGCCGGCACGCCCAACTTCGATCTCGTTAAGCCACGCACCCATCAAGTGCGCAGTAGCTCCGCACAGCAGACAGTAGGAAGCGCTCGCTGCGCATAAATCGCATCGTATCGATGAAAAAGGACCCTCATTAGAGGGATCCGCACGTCCTAACCGTTTTTATCAATTTCAGTCATGCTCACCGACACTCATTATTGATTCTTGGCTTGACACACGCCAAAGCTGCATTCTTGCACGTAACTGCAAGTAATTCCTACAGCTGAGTAGCTCCCACAACAGCCCCAGTTTACCAGCCACTGTTCCGTCAGGTAAAGCCTGCTGCTCGGGCGGCGACTGCTGCAAGGACGGCGGCGTCTGCAAGTGTGCCAACTGCAAGTGCTGCGCCGGGGCCGCCGACAAAGACGGTGGCGGCCCGGCGGCAGCCGCGGAACCGGGGGCCTCGGCCAAGCCGGCCGAGTAGGGCGCAGTCTGGGGCAGTGCCGCCCGGGCCGTCCCCTCTCCCCGGCGCGCGCCGCCCGTGTCGTGCAATGTGTGAGCGGCTGTTGTGAATATAACGTTACGATTTATAGGAACTGCTGATGAGCTTCTGCCGCCGCGGGAGGGTTGTTACAAGGAAAGGGAAACGAATCCAGCGATGAACCCACTCCTGTGCGGGCAGGGTTAGGCAAAACCCCAGCCATCAATAGTGCATTCTCTTATTCCAGAGATGCCAGCACTACGTATTGATGTGAGATGTGAACATCGCTGACATAAACGTAATTTGGGCAAACAGTTTTTTCTTAGCCAGAGCAGTAACGAGCTTGCAGAGAGAAGCTCCGTTTGTTTCACCCTGCCAATATAACGAGAAGCAATCGGCAAGTGGAACCCGGAGGCGAATAAAAGGACGTTACATCGCCGACGCAACCAATTCTGGAAGTCTTTGACATTTAATTCCTCACTTGCGCAATGTTTGAATGACCAATAATTTATGCGTTGAGCAAAAGACCAGCTGAATATTTTAGAATCACTGATACGCGCAAACCATGAAAAGGTGTCAAAGCAACGGGCAGCAATGGCGGATTCCGACCAAAAGTTTTTACAAAGGCCAGACATCTATCATAACGTCGATGTCTTGGACAGCAAATCACCGTATTGTGACGGCCGTACGTTACGTGAAACACGCGCGTCACATCAGGGCGGGTCAAAATATTACCCAAAATCTACTTTTTGCAACGCCATCTTTGTTTTGCAACACGATTTCGGAAAAACAAGGACCACTAGCTGTCTAAAATCGACACGCCACTCTAAAGATGTTCAGTGCCCTGTGCCTAAATGCAGTTTTAATCATCCCAGGTCAGGTCAGGATTGCGTCACGACCGACAGCCGGCAGGTAACGTTACTTTGTCGACCCCGTTTCATGTGCACACCGCCACTTCGGGACGATGAATTACCTATGACTCCTGGCGTGTCATTGGGTCCAACTGATTTAATAGAAACAAAACTCGGATGATCCTCCAGTTCACTTAATAATGACGTCAAGAGCTCACATCTGATACAAATTGCTGCGGCACGGTTCCCAAGCTCGTTTAATAATCGTGGGTGCTCTATTGGGACCCGGGTGGGCTGACATCATTCATAGTTTGTACTAAGGTTTCATGATGGACAAAACCAAGCCTGGGCCTCCTCAGGCCACGTCGGCGTGATGTCGCATGACAGACGCTGGAAGCTGTTTCCAGTTTTGGAGCCTGCTGCATGTGCCCATGCATGCTGATTACATCGTCATGTCATCCTGGGTCGAAATACCTTGCAACGAGACGCGGCGAGTACCTACCGCAAAATTCAAACGTACACAGGGAAAGGGCTTCATGAGCTTCTCACTAAAGTTGTTCCACAAAATGAGCTCACTGAGAATGAGACTACGCCTACATTATTCGAGTACATCACCTTGGAAGCTCAAAATAAATGGTTTACCAGTGGTTTATTTCATCAAAGTGGAGTTCGGGTACGTCTCAGCGCATCCCGTATGAAATGTCCAGTTGACACAATGTGAGTGCACAGTTCATGAAGCGCATGCAGGCTCACGAAGAGAAGCTGCAATATTCTGATATGACTTAACTTGGGGGAGTATAATGCGTAAGTCACAAGTGCAGATGTGATCGGAGGCAGTGCACAGCTAAAAACACAATTACCGGTGGGTAATTGTGCGCATGTGCAGCAGGCAGAATGTAAGCATGTATTTTCTGTTCTGATTTCAGTGCCTACAAACTGCGTTACAATTTGGTCGTGCCGCCGCGACAAGCGTGAAGGAATGCACACCATTAATGCGGGACGGTATGATCTAGGGCCATACGTCAACCTTTAAAGGGAATGTTCCACATTTGAAAAAGTAGAAGACTGTTCTAGACAACAAAACTCCTCTATTCAGTAAACATCCTTCTAGGTACGTCAATACTTGATAGCGTCATGGAGCGTTTGTATGATGTTAAAGTGCTGCCAAGATGGCAGTGCGAAATTGCAACCCTACCACTAACTCGCAGTACCTCAAACCCCCGAGAGGTGGACTTATCGGTGCTGGAGGTGTTAACTGAACCAAAGACCGCCTTGTACTCGCGTTTTAACCCTTTCTCGTGGTATTCTTGTGCATATATCCGTGGGTTTACGACATTTACTTCCACACACAAATCTTCAAGTTATTTGATTATGTCTTATTTCCGTAATAGCTAGGAGCCATGCCCAACTATTTATATTATGTAACACAACACCTGATTCGTGATTTAAACTTGCACAGCCCGCTCAACATAGATTGAGAGCCAATCGACGTCCATTTGAACTGGAAATCGTGTTCACCTACGGCGGATATGAACGGCTCATCGATTATATTCTTCTTGGCCTTGAACGCCGCATGGTCAAGTGTGGGAGTATTTGAATGACGTTTATATGACGTCATGAACTGGATGTCTTGCGTGACGTCTATTGCGTTTTATCTCTCTATAACGTGCTTAAAATGCTCTACAGATCTTAACGGGCGTGTAGCTCAGAAACAACACGGTGCTAGGCCTTAAGAAGGGCAGGGCTGCGAGCTGCACCAAAGGATCTTAAAAATGACTATTGCAATTCAAAACATTAAAAAATGTATAAAAATTCCTTAAAAATCAGCACGATCGGTCGTTTCGCTCAAGTGGTATTCAGTGGGTTGTTCCCCAGTAGGGGTATGACTGAAGCAATACATAGTTAGTTACGAAAAGCACAGGAACTGATTTACCAACTGCTTAATTTGACAGCTTTTTAGTCACGTTAGGTATGCCAGCATACAGTATCAAACAGGTATATATCGTATGGCTTTGGAGTGTATGTGTAGTGAATAATATCCAAGGCTGGCTGCGACACGGGACCACACAAATGATTACAATTTTAAAATCACAATAATCTTGACCAAGAAAAAATCAATGCTTGAAAAATTGTGATATCAAAGTTTTGCCTTCAATCTAACGCCAATAATGACTATTTGCAAGCCATGCTGCAAAAGGTCCATATCTTGACATTACGTTTCGACGACCCGCTTATTACACATTCAGAGAAGATGGCAGGCAACGTAAACAAAAACTTCGGACGGCCGACGAAATGTGGACCAGGCGTCCACATGCCAAGAGGAGAGCATCTATGGAGCCTCGGGGCATGTTCAGCTATCTGTCCGTCTGCAGCAGCAACGAGCATCAATCGATGTGTTCAGACTTCAGCGCGAAGACAAACAGAGGCTGCGTAACAGCAGACGACCAAAGGCCTGCTGGCCCCAAACATCAATCACATGCACAAAACCCAAGCACCGATAGAAATACCGTGCATCAACCGATATTTCAGAGCAACTAAACGTCAATACCAGACGGCTGTCGCGGAAACGGGTCACCGCCCCCGCACAAACAGGACGCGATGAATATTTCAGCGGCATGCCGGGCGTAGGTAGGGGGCGGCAGGCATGGAGAGTATGCTGGATCACGACTAGCCGGCGGCGATGACGGGTCGGCCTGCAGTGACACGACCAGGCCACAAAACACAGCCCTCAACCCGTCAGAGCCGGGCTTCGCCGGCTGCACGGGACCGGCAGCCCGCCGGAGCTGCTGGGCGCCCACTCGGACGAGACCGACAGAGCCGCGGTTTTGGCGACTGACGGGACCGGCCGTGTACCGGAGATGGAGTACCAACGTCGTCACAGGGCGCAGATGGCCTCTGTCGGACTAGCACGTCGCCCATCACCACCGCGGCAGTTTGGCTGCATGGCGCCGGTGTCTGAGGGCAGCGGCTGGCGGCGGGCGCGCCGGCCGCAGGTCGATACCGACGCGCCGGTAGTCCCGCCGGCGCCCGGAGCCGGCCGCCGGGCATTCCAGCCGGCCGCCGCCCTCCCGACCGCACGTGCCGGCGCGCTCCTCCGCCGTCCCCTGCTCAGCCCAGCGCAGCTCTCCCAGCCGCCGTCCGTCCATCCAGCATGTCTCAGGTGAGCGAGCGCGTGGAGGGAGGGCCAGCCGCCGGCGGCCGCGGCGAGCTACACCAGCCGACGTCCGTCCGTCCAGCATGTCTCAGGTGAGCGAACGCGTGGATGGAGGGCCAGAAGCCGGCGACCGCGGCGAGCTGCACCAGCCGCCGTCCGTCCGTCCAGCATGTCTCAGGTGAGCGAGCGCGTGGAGGGAGGGCCAGCCGCCGGCGGCCGCGGCGAGCCACACCAGCCGACGTCCGTCCGTCCAGCATGTCTCAGGTGAGCGAACGCGTGGATGGAGGGCCAGAAGCCGGCGACCGCAGCGAGCTGCACCAGCCGCCGTCCGTCCGTCAAGCATGTCTCAGGTGAGCGAGCGCGTGGAGGGAGGGCCAGCCGCCGGCGGCCGCGGCGAGCTACACCAGCCGACGTCCGAGCCGCCGGCGGTCATCGCACAGCCGCTGCCAGGATTGCCCGACATGCCGATCAGTGTTTAGTTGGCTTGGTTGGGCTCGGACGCTACTCGTCGCAGAGCTTCGCGAATAGTTTGGGACTTTGCAACACCGCAAAAATGGACGTCATTTAACCACAACAAAAGCGGAAACATTCGCCAACAGGTGGCATGGCAGTGTCTGCTGCAAATAATTTCGTTAGTTCACCGGAAGCAATTTCGGGCGGCGTTCTGCACCGTCGGCCGCAGCTTCCCAGCGCCGCCAGCCACCATGAGAACCCGCTGGAGCCTCAGCTGGCCACGGGCCCCGGTTCTCGGTTCCCAGCCCCTCTGTCGGCGGCGACCGGCTCACGCCAACCGACCCGGGGCGTCGCCCAGACGGGGGTCACCGAGTGGCGAGGGAGCGCGACCTGGCACGATCGGCAGCCCGGCGCCGGCCAGACGTGGCACGATCAATGGGGCGGTGTGGGCCGCTCTTACCCACCGTGTGACCCGGGGCCGCTGCTAGAGGGCACGACTTGGGACCGGCACCGGACGGAGGCCAGACAAGTGCAGTACGCGGGCGAGCAGCGGGAGAATGGCTTCCACGGGTCCAACAAGCTCTGCCAGGATGGTCGAGACCTGGCGTCCTGACCTGACCCGAGACCTGGCGTTGACGTCTGTCCGGACGTAACATGAATGGTGCCGATGTTCTTTTGAGGAACAGGAACACGTGCGTTCGCAGCGGCACCCAAGCGTCCACCGCGCTGGCTTAAACCTCAGCCAGCTTAGAGGAGATTTTGCTCTCTGCCTGACGTAGGATTCCATTGTCAGCAGAGTAATGTCGACACATTTCGAAGCTGTCGCTGTAACTCGGTAGAGCGTTGGATGTTGCGAACCAGTGTGCAGCAGACCTATGAAATCGCTGACAGACCTATGAGCACGCATGTGACAGACCTATGGGCACGCATGTGACAGGCCTATGGGACAGCGTGTGACAGGTCTATGGGACCGCGTGTAACAGGTCTTTGTGATGACATGTGACGGGTCTATGAAATGGCGTGTGACAGGCCTATGTGATCGCGTGTAGCTGGCCTATGGGATTGCGTGTGACGTATCTATGGGATCGTGTGTAACAAGCCTTTCGGATCGCGTGTAACAGGCCTATGTGATGGCGTGTGACAGGCCTTTGGGATGGCGTGTGACAGGCCTATGTGATGGCGTGTGACAGATCTATGGGATGGCGTCCAAAGACCAAGGCTTATGGCCCGTAACTAACGACCCATTGGCAACCAGCAAAGAGTCAGAAACGGGCGCGACCGTGCCACGGCATTGCAGGGCACATTGTAATGAGATAACTGTTCTGGTGTGACGGGCTGCGGTATCACAATAACCTATTCCAAGGCATGGCTCAGATTCGAACACAATCGCTGCGAAAAGTAGCGTGAAATTCCAATACGAAAATGCCACGGATCCCTTGCGGAGGTCTGCGGGGGGTCTGTCTTTGTGGTTATTCCTTACGTCGCCACATCAAACGCGGTGGCGTTGGGGTGATCAGCTACCCACTCTGGATGCGACCACCCTCTCACGGGTGTGCCTCCCTCCGCCGTGTGCGGTGTGCCCCTCCCCATCGCTGACCGACGGTGTCCGGTAACCACCCTCTCGAAGGTGTGTCTCCCGGCCCTGTAGCCGCTGACCGACGGTGTCCGGTAACCGCCCTCTCGAAGGTGTGTCTCCCGGCCCTGTGGCCGCTGGCCGGCGGTGTCCGGTAACCGCCCTCTCGAAGGTGTCTCCCGGCCCTGTGGCCGCCGGTGGGCAGTGTCTGGTAACTACCCTCTCGGAGGTGTGTCTCCCGGCCCTGTGGTCGCTGGCCGGGAGTGTCTGGTGATCACCCTCCCGAAGACGTCTCCCACCCCTGTGCGCGGTGTGACCCTCACCGCTGGCCGGCAGCGTCTGGTGACCACGCCCCCGGAGACGTCTCCCTCCCCTATGCGCAGTGTGACCTCTACTGGTGCTCGACAGTGTCTGGTGACCACCCTCCCGGAGACGTCTTCTTCCCCTGTGCGCGGTGTGACCCTCACCGCTGGCCGGCAGTGCGCCCACTCTGCGGACGTGCAGCCGGTGCCGGCCGGCGGTATAGACGCCTCGGCCGCTTGTCAGGAGTGCGACCACAAGGACGAGAACTGGCTCTGTCTCCACTGCTATAAGGTGAGACGCCACGTGATCGGCACGAGGCGCGCGGCGCGACTCCTGTCGCTGTCTGGTGAACCATGCGCCTGCTCTGGACCACAAAGTGGTATGGATTGAGATGGGCACACTATCAGGTGCTACAAGGTGGCTCAGTCGATAGCAGAGCCGACCCCGCACTAGGCTCTGTTTCCGCTCGGCTGGCGGTGACTGCGCTGAGGCATAGCTTAGGCTGTTGGCAATAAATACATAAATAAATAAAAAACCGTGAAAAGCTGCGTAACCTTTCTCATGCGCTTATACGACGGACAAAAGACAAGCTGACATCAGATATCGCGTGGGTTTGTGAAGGGATAGAAATCTGTGCCGTTTGAGCTAATCTGAACCTGGTCGAGTATATGGAGGATGGCAGCACGCACTAGACCTGGGCCGTGGCTGATCGTCGAAGCAAAGCGATAGAACAGTAAACACAGCCATGTTGCTAAAACTTTCCATCAGCGGTCGGTCTCTACTTTACACGGGACCTGCTCACCTTCCTCGCCCGTCCCCCCCCTCCCGCCTAGCTGGGGATCGGCCGGGTCACGCTCTGGTTGGCGAACCGATCCCTGTCCAGCACCTGGCCATTAATCACGGGACGTTATTGATCTGACGTCACGGACGTTCGGTGCAGGGTGTGGAAGGCGATGGGGCCGCCAGCTGGCTGTGGCTGCGTTCGGTCGGCTCCCACCCCCGTAGAATCCCTCAGGAGTCAGCACTGTAGCGGAAGTGACGTCGACTTTGGGGATTCGGGGACCTGGCGGCGCCCAGCGAAGCAGGTTTTCCTCGCCCTCGACGGGGGGGGGGGGGGGGGGAGGCGTGGACGCCGCCGCCGCCGCTGCTGCTGACGTGCCGAATGTGCCCCCTCCGGCCTCAGACGCGGTGCTTGAGGCGCTCGATAGCGCACGGACGCGACAGGGCCACGTGACGCGACGCCAACCCACTCCCACGACGTCCCGCGACAGTCGTGTGCAGTGGCGAGCTTTGAGCTCGACATGCTGTGCGGCAGGTGCTGTGCAGCCGCTTCGCCAAGGAGCACATGATCAAGCACAGCACGGAGGCCAACCACCACGTGGTGCTCAGCCTGGCCGACCTCTCCACTTGGTGCTACGGCTGCGACTCGTACGTCGACAACGACAAGACGCAGGCGGCCAAGGACGCGGCGCACGCCAACAAGTTCGGCAAGTAGGCTCGGCGGCGGCTGGGGACCGTCGGCCGCGGCCCAAGCGCGCGGCGCAGGACCGAGGCGGCGCGACCAGGTCCTGCCTCCCCATCTGCTATTCGCTGCGCTGTTATTGCTTGCACTGACGTGTCAAGGATAAAAATTGCCTCGTGAGCCCGGCACTGCGGCTCGCTAGACTAGCTGCATGCGATGTGGCTGTGAATGTAAGGGAGGCATTTACGGATTGTCTGCTTGAGGAAACACGTGTTCCTCACGATGTTTGTGTCCGCCACCGAGATTCGACATACATGTGAAGAGATATCACCAAAATGCACTGGCTTTGAACAATACACACGATAACCAGCTGAAAGGAAAAGAACGTAAATCGTTTTTCACAACTAGCGGAAAGCGGGAAACAAGGAAAGATGCATAAGACCGGTGAGGCGCATGTAAGAGAGGAAACGACCGCATTCACCCTCGACGGGGAAAGCATTCTAAAACCTCTAACGCATCTGCACACAATGTTCCCCGAACAAGTACAAACATGAGATGATGATCCCATCCCATACAGCCCCCTACGCTGACCCCATCCCAATTACCAATGCTCCATGGCATATCACTACGTGGGGCGTCAACTGTCGTCGGCTAAACGATTCATCAGTGCAGTTAGCCTCAGTTTTCTGGGTGGCACCGAATTCCTAAGGAAAGACGGGGCTCAGCATTCCTACACATCTTGCACCCACTTAGTCCATTGTTGCACGGTCAGCACTAACACACACGCCGACCGTATCAGAGCATCGGTCTGCCGCAGCGAATAGGGTTAAAACTCCGTTGCTAGATAGAGATTAGAACCAATATATACCAAGTACATCGAAAAATACCCCTGCAACACCGTTAAACACCTTTATTCCGTAGCATTTGCACGACCACACCGAAGTACCATCGAGTGGGGATTGTTGTGGGCCGGTCAAGCGGTCGAACCAAGTGAAGTAAGCTAAGCGGAGTGTTCAACATTTGTACCAGGTTTTTAACTGAATAGCCATTTTGAAGATAATTCTGTACAGCTCACAGCCCTGCCGCTTTACAGACCTAACACCTAAACCCCTCTTATATCTGAGATGCAACGCCGGCGAAGATATGCAGAAGATATATGCAGACTATTTCAGGGCGACTATTTCAAGGTCACCCAGGCATCCATGACGCCATAATAACTCCATTCGAATCCTGCCATTCCGTTAGCTATCCGGCGACCAACGCCAAGAGGAACATAATTAACAAGGCGGTCATGGCTGATGCTCGTGAGGACAATTTCCGGATATAACTGCCGTCAGTTAGCTTCCAATCGATGTTGTGTCAAGTACGAGGACGCAATCAAATAATGCCGTATTGAGCAGCACAGTTACTAAACAAGAAATTGTGCTGCATCGAGCGGTCTTTTCCAATTGGAGTCTAGAGCCTGTCACCCCGGGTCGGTCACGCCCGGCACGTCACCCTCGGTCGGTCAGGCCCGGCACGTCACCCCCGGTCGGTCAGGCCCGGCACGTCACCCCCGGTCGGTCAGGCACGGCACGTCACCCTCGGTCGGTCTGGCCCGGCACGTCACCCCCGGTCGGTCAGGCACGGCACGTCACCCTCGGTCGGTCTGGCCCGGCACGTCACCCCCGGTCGGTCAGGCCCGGCACGTCACCCTCGGTCGGTCTGGCCCGGCACGTCAACCCCCGTCGGTCTGGCCCGGCACGTCACCCCCCGTCGGTCAGGCCCGGCACGTCACCCCCGGTCGGTCTGGCCCGGCACGTCACCCGGTCGGTCTGGCCCGGAACGTCACCGCCGGTCGGTCTGGCCCGGCACGTCACCCCACCCCGTCGGTCAGGCCCGGCACGTCACCCTCGGTCGGTCAGGCCCGGCACGTCACCCCGGTCGGTCTGGCCCGGCACGTCACCCTCGGTCGGTCTGGCCCGGCACGTCACCCTCGGTCGGTCAGGCCCGGCACGTCACCCTCGGTCGGTCAGGCCCGGCACGTCACCCTCGGTCGGTCTGGCCCGGCACGTCACCCCCGGTCGGTCAGGCCCGGCACGTCACCCCCGGTCGGTCTGGCCCGGCACGTCACCCCGGTCGGTCTGGCCCGGCACGTCACCGCCGGTCGGTCTGGCCCGG